ATGGTATAGGATATTGCTAATACGCATGTGCCACCCACTTCACAGCTAACATCCACCAGAAAACAAAAATCTACAAGAGAATATGTAGGCTTTGTCTGTTTTAATTTGAACCCTAAGAGACGTCTAGGGTAGCACGTCATGGCAAAGCTCGATTACCATAAAATCGGACAAATGGGGATTTGCGGAGGAAATAAAAAAAAAATTAATCCCTCTTAATATTTATAAACAACTCTCTTTTGTCCAACCTGTCTTGTCCTATCTCATTGCTAAATAATTATGAAAACAAGAAAACTTGGAGCTTCCTTTCCATGAATTTTGCAATCATAAATAACAAAAGGGACGCAGTACTGACAATATGGTCAAATAGGTTAAATGGGGTTTTAGGGGATTTAGGAAACATAATAAATAATGCAAAGAGATGAACCCAGCCAAACCTTATTGCAAACATCTAATTGGGTCTTGTAGACCAATGTACCTTGCAAACAAAGACAGCTCCCCCGTTTTAAAACAAGTGGGAGCATCTATTTATACATACAAGTACTACGAGGTCCCCCTCAAAGCTGGCTATTACTTGGTGCCTTTGGCAATTTGGCATCGGCAACTGTAAAATTTGGAGATGGGGTCTCATGTGGGCTCAAATCCCATCGAGGACAGCCTTAGCAGTTTTCGTTTGCCCTCTTCCTTGAGAAGCATAATAATCTTTGTCTCAAATCACCCAGCCAAAGGCCAAAATATAAAAAAACAAAAGAACCCTAGTTTTTAATGTTGGCTACATGGGTTCCCAAGATGGCAAAAAGTTGGAATTATTGGGGGTTTTTAAACTAATATTAAAATCTCTAGAACTAGATAATCAAGAATTTGGAATTGCAAATTTGCATCAGTACCAGCAAGTCATGTTTTTAAATGGAAGAACAAAAAAATAGAAAGAGTTTCTTTCCAACTATTAATCCTAACCCCTTGGAATGGTAAGACTATGAAGAGCTAACCCTTCTTTTTCTTTGTTTTATTCGATTTAAAGTCTTTGTCTATAGTAGAAAATTAGATATAGGTTCTTCCTTAGCTATGTTAAGCTATGTTTATTTTCAACCGACTACTCTTTTTTTTTTTCTCGATCTTGCTCTTTCCTAATTGCTTCTTCACATCCATTTAATTCCAAATCGACATTGCACATGCTTAGAGCACTATCTAACCCATCAAAATGTTTGGGTTCTCCTTTTCTTTGTTTCTTTTTACGTAAGCATGGTTTGTGTTAATTATTTCCATTAAAATACATAAAAAAAAATTCCATTTCATTCCTTACTTATTGTTGAAATCCTTCACTCTAAGTAGACACTTGTTTATGTCATTTGTTTAATTTTCGAAGTCTAAGGAAAGTGTTTGTGATAAAATTGCCATGAACAAGAAGATTAACCATGCATTTAGCTCTTGTCGTATTATGCATGCTAATTTGAAGTCAATATGTGGAGAGAATTTGTAAATGATAAATAAAATCATTTTTATTAATTCATAATTTTAATTTTAAAATAATCAATTTCATATCATGGTTGGCATAAGAGGTTCAATATTTAAATCCTTAATTTTCTTTTTCACGTCCTATACATAAAATATAAGACCTAGAAAAATTCTGTACCATTCTACATGAGTTGTTGTAATTCACATCATGTATTTATTTATCAACATAATTTGGTATTATCTATATGGTTAACCGTGCATTATTAAATTAATATTTAAAATACAAGGAGAGAAGAATTGGCATTAAATATATAAAATTTCCTACAAATTAAAAGCTTAAAGCATTAATAATTAAGCCGTCCATTAATATGACAAACAAGGGGATGGCCCCATTCCTTTGTAGTAGGTGGGCCACAACAATATCAGTAAGTTTCCAATAATATCCTCAAATTTATAACAACAAACCAAAATACCACAAGGACAAAAGTGCCCATCCAAGTCATATCGTTATTGCGTGGAGGGAAAGTCAATTCCTAACGGTATCTATCCACCGACCACCGACCTACCCCTTTGCTCTTGCTGCCTCCTCACAAATTAATTTAAATTAAATTAAATTAAAAATAGAATCATCAATGAAATTAAAAAGACAATTTATTATTATTTTTCTTTAACCTTTGAATTCCGCCTTCACTTGCCCACAAAACGACAACTCGCCATCACCGCCTGCCAAATACATAATTATTTTCCCTAATTAAATTATTTTCCACTTTAATTATGATTAAACTATTAAAGTATGAATCTAGTTAGACAAACACCCTATTGACACCTGCTCAATCCCACTATTTAAAATAGATAGTATATTTTTCAATCATCATTACAAGGAAAACCCTCATAACTATAGCCAATCACATAACAAATAATAAAACCATCTATATATTTTTATTTAAGTTTTAATTTATCAGGTTTTTAAATAAAAATAAGTTGTTTATTTATTTATATAAATAAATCTTCAATTCTGAATACGTAAGTTTTGGCTATTTATGAAAAATATTTAATTAGAAGTAATTATTTTAATTTACTCAAGAAGGCCCAAACAACACCCCGAAGCCAAGATTAAAGCATTTACGTCGAAGCCCTGTTTTTAATTTTTTTTTCCCTATATAATATTTAAAAGGAAAAGAACATAAAAAATAAAAATAAAAAAACACATCCCTCCCTTCTCACAGATTTGTGTCGGTGAATTTGGATTTTCTCGTTTTTGAGTTTTTTCCCTTCTCTTTCTCTCTCACTTTCTTTCTCACATATACCTTTGTTGTGTCTCGGAAAAACATTTCAACGTGTTACCTTAAACGCTTGACACAACCGAACTAACATGCCATCTCAAAAACTCAACCCTTCCCTTTCCTAGCTCCTCCGAATCCTCCCCTGTCCTAACAAAAGCCTTTGAAGCAAAAGATACACAGGCCATAGCTGAGAAACATAGAATTTTTGCGATAAAGAAGCCATGGAAAATGGAACAGGAGGAGGAGTGGTTGCTACGAGAGAGAGTGCGAGGAAATCTACGGAAAGGCCGTACAAGGGGATAAGGATGAGAAAGTGGGGGAAATGGGTGGCTGAGATAAGGGAACCGAATAAACGGTCGAGGATTTGGTTAGGGTCTTATTCCACCCCTGTGGCGGCCGCGCGAGCTTATGACACGGCGGTTTTTTACCTACGAGGACCGTCGGCTAGGTTGAATTTTCCCGACCTTTTGGCGGGAGAGAAAGTTGGCGGCGGCTCACTTGGTGGCGATATGTCGGCGGCTTCTATAAGGAAAAAGGCTATTGAAGTTGGTGCTAGAGTTGATGCTCTTGAGGCAGCTCAGCATCACCACCACCATCATCATCATCACCACCACCACCTTCATCATGGTCATAATTACAATCTTAATCAGAATTATAATCGTAGTTATGCCGATGAGTTGAAGCCAAGTGGCAGGTTATTACAGCGGGTTGACTTGAACAAGATGCCCGACCCGGAGGATTCGGATGGTGAATGGGAAAGGAAGTAGAAACAAATGAAAAAGAGAAGTCGATTTAATCGTGACCCTCCAATTATTATGATTGCTAATCAAGACCATGATTACAAGTTGTAAATTTTGGCTGTCTCTTTTGGCGGCTGTGCTAAAGAAAGGGAGGGAACGGGAGGGCGGTTGCTAACATGCACCGCGGGCGTTAGCTAACGTGCGGCACGGTCTGGGGGGAGGTAAGTCTAAGTGACGGCTGAAGAAATGATGAAGCCTTTGTATTAATTATTAGTGTAATGAAAAACCTTTTGTTTTTCTATATAGGCACCCCCTTTCCTTTCCTTCTTTATCTCTTATATTTGGGATTTGATGGCAAAAGTTTTGGCCAGTGTAAAAAAAAAGAGAGGGTAATTGTATATTTGCTCTACTAATTCTCATCCTTCACTACTTGACTTCTTTTCTTAGGTTGTTTTTCTTTTAGGTGTGTATGGCTTTTTAATTGTTTGTTTTCTTAATTGGGGTTTTAAGGTTTGACTTATAATTAAGGGTCTTTGCATTCTAAAATTTGATTTAGTGATGGTACATGATCTTAGAAAAGTTGGAAATTGTGTTTTACAAATGAAAGAAAATTTGGGTTGTAACTTTCTCACAAGTCTTTAATGTTCTAGTGGGGAGTGGATGGAACAGGGGGGCCAAGTTGAAGGGATTTTGCTTTTAAAATTCTCTCACTGAAACAAGGAGGAAAACAGAGAGATGGGAGTGGGGAGGAGGGAAGAGGGAAGAGGGAAGAGGCAGGGAGGGAGGGAACAGGCAGTGGCCTACCCATCCCAGCAGTTGGTGCAAATGGCCGTGCTAACCACTAAAGTTATAACCACTAAAGTGATAAGATTTTTGAGTTAGGTATTTTCGGGTTCTCCACTGTGGATGTGGGACTAAAGTTAGGGATTGCCGTCCTGCTAGTGCATCATGATGTTGGGTCCAACTTTTGAATGTGGGGATGCTTCTTTCCTTTTCTGTTTTTGGTTTTTGTTTCTGGGGTAACTTTGGGAAGACTTTGAAAACATGTTGTCAAATCGCCGCACCTCCGTAACAATGCAAGAAACCATTTTTAACAGCTTCAAAGAAAACGCCAATCTGATGAAAGGTTTTTTGACTTGTTTTCTTCTCCACGTTCAGTTAACAACTTGCATGCCCACACACCTTTCTAATGCGGGACAGGACAAACTCTTTTCAGTCCCCACAATCAGCGGAAACAATATTGTTTGCTTACAGTCATTCAGATTATTTAATGCCTACAGCAAGCCGTCTCTTAATCAAAAATCCAAAGCCCATATTACTTTTCCCCGTATTCACGCTTTGCTTCCTTCCTTCTAATCTCGGGTGAAATGCTGATTTTTCCTTTTATTTTTTTCCATTATAAAATTCGAACAGCCAATTCGCTAAAACCAAAATACTGGTAAGAAATAAAAACTGTTGTTCGCTGGGTAGTTACAACCACGAAAAAACTGAGGGAATGGAGTTGGACATCAACTAGTAAATTCGGTTCAACAACCAACCACGGCGGATTCTATTACAATTGCAAAAGCATACTGGTGAACTACAACCTGCGACTCTAACAACATCATTTCGTGTCCAAATCTCTATGCAATGTTCTAAAAGCAGATACTAAGAATAACAGTTGTAGAATTATAATGTTAATAATGTCAATGATATATGTATATTATGCAAAGGCAGGACAAAATTGAATATATTAAGCACGTAAGCTCCTTCCTTGCAATCTTTTTCTTTGATAAATGGAGAAAGGCTAGCGGAGAAAATTTCATTCCTGTATTGCCCTATCGAATGCCTCAAAATTCCTTGAATGATGCTTCTCGGGTTATGCTTCGCGTTCAATAGCACGCTTTATTTGAAGGGCAGCTCTCACAACATTTCCTCTTGTGATGATACCGACCTTCAGAGAAGGAATTGAGCTTAGCAAACACCAGAAGAAAACATAACAAACAAAAAGAGTTTAAACCCAAGGAAAAATCGTTTATAATATTTTTTCACTTACCAGCTTACCCTCAACATCAACAACTGGAAGTCGACGATATTTTGTCTCGAGCAATAATCTGAAATTTTATAAACCAATTAGAACAAGTTAGATATATATACAGTGAAGACTTGTTGGGCTAGGTGCAAGAGGCAGGATTATATGGATTTGGATGAAGATCTTAGATTTGAATCTAAATGCCTTCCTATTGTACCAAAAAATGAAAAACAGAAGCAGGCATTAGGGAGGTAGTTAATCAATGTGCCAAAGAAAAGGCAGAAGAAGTCTAATAGACCTAGCAGCATCCTCGAGGTTAGTTGTCTCTCGTACAACTACTGGAGCTGGTGTCATTAAATCACCAACCAGCTGGCCATTGGTTTTACTGAGTAACTTTTGTACCTCGTTGAAAGCCTGCAAAATGGACGACCACTCGGTTGGAAATGTCAAAATTAAACAATAAACACAAATGGGTTCTTCTGGAGCCACTTGCAGCAGACTGAAATAGACACAACCAAGTTATGCAAACTTCAAAGTAAATATCATCAAAATGGAAAAGATCTGTTTTGATCCACCACATTGCAATGCACCACTATAAGAACACAGAACTAAGTTTCAACTTATCTTTCAATACAAAGGCACATTTTTTCATGTTAATATATAATAAAATTCTTTGAAAATATTCTCTTTTGCAAAAATGTTTCCTGTCTTCCTGATTTATTCTCGAAGTACCACTTGCATTAGAAAACAATTATATAAAACAAGCACTAGATTTCACACTTGTATGGAGCAGCTTCATGCAAAAGAAATGCCCATGTCTAGCAAGTGAACTTCTCTGTGCTTGATATGAGATGAGATACATTACAAGTGGCTAAAGTTGAATATGTTAAAGGATAATTACATGCATGAAAGCTGAATGGTGATCTGGAGGATTAAAAAACATGAACTACTCAAAGAAAAGATTTCGAAGATGGTTTAGCTTTCTGCCATATAAACAACATAAGCAGCAGCAGGGAAATTGTTTGACGAAAATTCAGGAAGCCATGAAGATAAGGCCATGGACAACATATTTTGCGTGACATTGTCACCAAGAATTTAGTTTCACTGAATCTTACAGAATCGGAGAGTACAGCAATTGCAACAACCTCAACTCTCTCAGTGATGTAGACAATAAGAATATATCTTATCACGGCAATATACTCTTTCTCTTTTCTTTCTTTTTTTTTTTTTTGTTTGAGATATATTATGGCATTATACTTTTCAAACCTTGAAATAGTTGTTATTTCCCCATTCCCTTCAATTTTCTTTTTTCTTTTTGAAAAAAAAAAACCTCTGTTAGTGATGAGGCAGTTGAAGAAAAAAAGCTTTGGAAAAGAATAATATTAAACTATGTAGAATGGTCATTGTTCCACTAAAATGATGCATCTATTTCAACAAGAGAGCAGTTTTTGCATACTTTCCAAGTGCTGTCAACTTCAGGAAACATGTCATTTTCAGTCCGTCGCCCTGGTTGAAGAATGAGTCAGAAGATGTAAGAAATTACAATCATATTAAATAAGTTGGCTTCATAACAATCAATGCCTACTCTACTTTCTATTAGCCATTAGCAAGAATAAAGAAGTGGTGGCATTCTTAGCAAGGTATTGCCATATGAAAACTTGCATCTCAGCGAATACAAACTGGTCCATGTTATACTATTAACAAATAAAAATCCTAAACACCACAAGAAAGGGAAGTAATAAAATTCAATGCTCAATTAAAACTGCAGTTGTCGTTCATACCAAGGTAAAAATTTGTTGCCTACTTCTAATAGAACTGTACAGAATTATATTGAGTAGACAGATAGATAGTAGATAATAAGTAACATCTAAAAGAAAGATGAATGACACAGTGAAATAAATTAGATAATTTTATTTACCAGATATGGAGTCCAATGCTAACAAGTCATAATCGGAAACAAGTCCAACCTACAGAATCAGAGAACATGTTCTAATTATTCCAAAAGCAATACGTAATCTACTAGGTCAACAAGATACGGCAGATTTACCGACCAAACAACCAAAACGGAAATTGACTGCTAAATTAAGGATGATGGTATATTGGAAAAAGAAAGCATCTAAATGTTGACACTTGAGACAATATGACATCGGAATGTGGAAGCAACAATGTTGTTGTTTTAGAAAGATAATGTGATTAGGCAAAGAAAGTCATCATATAGGCAGGACCATCTTTCCTTCACCCATCATATACTCACCTTAAAGTCTTAATGAGGGAGAAAGGGAGGAACATATATGTGCATAACTACAGTCACTATTTGCTATCTTTTCATTCTAGTATTTGCTTAAACCTAATGAATCAAGTATGAGTGAATGACTATAATTCCAGACTTGAAGAGTAGCATTGTACCCGTCATTGACAAGTTCAGCGGTCCAAGCCAACATTCACATTTGGGCCATGGGCCTAATCGGACAATGCAAATACTAGGATTCCACTTATCAGGAAATGTCAGGATATCATGATAGTATGGAGTTTAAAGTTTAGAATTAATAATTAGCAAAAAAATATATAATTAGGAACTCATGACCAAGATTAAGGGTGAGATAACATACCAATTTCCAATCATCATCAATGACAGGAAAACCAGTGATTCTGTGTTCAACAAGACTTTCCAATGCTGTTGGCGTTGGCACAAGCACAAGAACCATGCATTAGAACTTTTAAAAAGATTTTCAAAAAACACAACATATTATAAGACATAAACTAAGCATAACAAATACCTTCATCAACAGTTGTTGTTGGCTTTACCACATGCAAATTCTCTTTCCTCGTCATAAAATCCCCAACTGTATATACTCCACCTGTTGGCTGCATTAACAACAAACAACGAAAAGAAATTAATATACAGATGAAGAATAAAGTTTGAAGACCATACAAACCATCTTCCCTTGTTGCCAATGCTAAACCCTTCTTCCTATCGAATCAAAGTATTTTAGGATTCAAACGGTTGTGTAAAAAAATATACAGGGACAATAGAAATTCAATCTAATGTATTTGCGTGAAGCATTAGAATTTAACACTACACTATTTGAGATGAATCTCAGACACACATAAATTCCATGCATTTAAATTGAAAAACTCTCCCTGAGACCGAGCTGTTTGGCTTCTAAAGCAGTTCTAAAATCAGTATTAGTTTAAGCTAAATTGACAAAACTGGGCATCCAAACATTAACAATAAATATATAAATAATAAATTGCTTGCAAATTCTTACAAGTAAAATTCACTAAAGATTTCTCATGTAACAAAAAGCAGAGTAAAGAAACGCGATAAATTTGAAAGCGAATAGATAAGGTAACAAACCAAAACGGAGTTGGCGGTGAGAGTGCCGCTAGCAGCTACAACGGAAGTGTATGCCCTGCGAGAACCAGTGCCTGCGGAGACGGTGGATATGGGACGGAGGAGACGGTAGACGGGACGAAAGATGAGTTGGCAAGGCATGTGGTGAATGGTAGCGGTGGAGGTGGAAGTGGAAGCGGCGCGTAGGCGCGTGAGATATAGGGATTCTGTATGGAGAATTGAATCCATTTTTTTTTTTATCCGCTTTTTCCCTTCAGTGGCGGTGGCCTGGTCAGTGTTTGGATATTTTTGCCTTTTGCGAGGAAAGTTGGGGAATTCGAAGAGGGCGAAGAGAAGAGTGACGGATTTGTTTTGAGGTGGAGATATAGTGATTAGCGTAGCCAAGCTAACCGACTTAGGCTGATTTCGACTTGCGATTTTGGCAAACGTGAAAATTTTGAAGCGGCCGCTCATTACGACGTGAGAACGGTTAAAATTTTTGCGTAAATTAATAATTCAATTTCCATCCAAATAAAATAAATAAATAAATAAAGAGTGCTTTGTTTTTGTAGAATTATTTAATTTAATATTTAGACCATTTATAGAAAAACTTTCCTGGAAATTATGATGGTTTTAAGGTTTTTTTTTCATAAAACATTGTGGTTTCTTTTGTCTCAATTAGAATCATATAAATAACTTCTATTTAAAGTTAAAATGTTAACTTTACTTAACAAAAATTAAGATGATTATAAATATTTTAAATGAAAAACACCAATGTCACATGCCAAAATTTAAGCACATCCTCATACAGTTTTAAATTTTAAAAATAAAATTTAAGTCAATTTTAAAATCCATAAAATAAAAGAAATAAAGGAAAAATAAAAACTTTTAAGAAATAAAATGTTATGTATTTTTTTTAGATAATACCATAGATCTATCGTGAAATAAGATAAATTTTAAATATATAAACACGAACTTTTCATCATTTATTAAATATATTTTTTTAATTAAAAACGTGAGTCGATAACAATTGATATTAAAATAAATTCAAATTTTCACTGTAGTATCTTACGAGAGATGCAAAGGTTAATATAGGTTTGTACTAATGTAAAAATTTTTGAATATAGTAAAATGTCACAAATCTTAAATTAGTAAAAAATTATATTGATTTTAGGTATATAAATTTAGCTCAAACTATTTGTTCACACTTAAAAGTTTTTTCATATTTTTATTAGATAAAATCAAAAGCCTATCTCTTTATAAAAATGAAAGTTGAAAAAAAAAAATTATGAAATGTCATGTAAAAAAATTGAAGGCACGGAAAGATAAAGTAACTAATGTTTAACCTAATTCATATAATGTAATTTTAAAATTAATATCATAAAATATAAAACATATATAAGTTAAATCTTGAACTTTATAAAAATACAGCAAAAAATATGCACAAATGTTAAACATTATTTAAATTTAAAAACTTAAGCTAATAGATTATAAGTTATTGTTAGATGCTATCCTAATTTAAATATTTTTCTTCCACGTCCCCTCTTAATTGCATAAGAGATAAATAAACTCATGTATGAATCTCAAACATATGAAACATGAAACAAAAATCATACATATACATTACTTATTTATATATAAAAATATAGAGAGACATGTATGTGCGTAAAGTTAGGTTTTTACATAATAAATGTAAATATTAAAATTATTATTTTTTGAATGAAATAGTTTAACATTTAATTTGATATAAAAAGTTTTTTTTGTTAAATAACTAATTATTTTTGCATGTTCATGAATGGCAATGAGAGAAAAAGTTATAAAATGTTATCATATTATAAATTAGTTTCATATTATACTAAACATTGGATTTAGACATTTAGTTAAAACTATAGGGAGAAGAAAAGACACGAATCATTATTATAATAATTTTAATATTTTCGTATTCTATTTAATTAATGATTCGAAAACAAATCTTTAAAAAGGAAAAGAATATAAATCATTTTTATTTGAAAAACTTTTCATATTCTTTCAGTTACTATGAAATGAAATTTGTAGTGACTTTGGATCTTTCTTATTTAATTTATATAGAATTGTTGTGTTACAAGAGAATGGAGATTTTTGTCCACTAATATTTCATTTCCATTATTTTTTGGTTTTCCTTTTTTTATATTTTCTTGAAAATTTATTTCCTTTTTTATTTTAATTTTTCCAATAAATGAATTACCATCAATATATTGTTTTTTAAGAGGAACTTTTTCATCTTTAGAAAGTTATTTTATATATTATTTAATTATTTTAAAGAAAATAAAAGTTAATTGTAAGGATGGGACAAAAGAAAACCTAATTATTTTCGAAATTAAATTCGAAAATAAATAAATCAACCGAAAGATGTTATTCTTATCTTGTTTCTTAAAATTAAGTCTATTTTCTAAAAAAAAAAATCAAACTTAATTCAATGAATAAAAAAAAATGTATTTATCATTAATTTTTTTTTCTTAACTGCTTTTCATTTTTCAGTAAAACGCTATAAAATGAATTACCATAAGTATATCATTTTTAAACAGAAACTCTTCAGATTTTAGAAAAAATAATTATATGTTTTATTTAAGTATTCTTAAGAAATTAATAATTAATCATACAAAGAAATGACCAAAATATTAATTATTTCCAAAATTAAATTGAAAAAAAAATGAATCACCATAAGATTAACCTTATCTTGTTTTACAAAGAAGAAATCTAATTTCTTTTAAAAAAGAGAACTCAAGCTTTATTCTTTGAACGAAAGGATACATGCATTTGGAAAAGAATGTTAGCTTTAATTACATAACCATCTACTTGATTCCTATCTGTTCTTAGTAATAAGTTACTCTGAGCCAGTATAAAATGTATAAATACAAAGAATTCAATGAATATGCAGCACTTTTTGATATGAAATCTTTTATGCTTCAATTTTTCCCAATTTGATCAAATCTTGCACAATAATATTTCAACATATTTGCAAAAAAGTTGATAGTTTATTTCTGGCCAAAAGAAAATATTTAAATTGCATGGTTGAGATTTATTTATTCTTTATTTGTTCACAGAATTTAGTAGTATTTATTATCGAAAAAGACTCTGATAATATACATCATAATTTATTTATACAGTAGAGAATCTCCCCGCTTTTACCCAAAAAAGGTCGGAAAACGTCAAGCACCTCACGTGAGAACTGAATCAGTGACCCAACATGGGGAAAAAGAATCAACGGCAGAAATCTCATCAATCAAAAAAAACGAAAATTAGGGTTAGACAGTTGTCGCCCTGACCAACTTTCCCTACTATATAATCTCCCATTTTCTTACAAGTCCAGTGCGGTGCCGCCCGTGCTGCCCAAAAATTAAAATTCCCCTTTCTTTCTGCTTTTATTTTTATATCGAAAAATTTTTAAAAAAAAAACCAGAATACTATCAGTTTTTTTTTTTGGTTTATCATTCCCATTTTTTGAAGAAAAAAGAGGAAAAAAGAAAAAAAAGGGAAGGAGGTAATGTCGCAGTTACAAGTGCAGGGTCAGGCGGTTCCTGTGGCGGTGACGTCGCCGCCTCCGCCAGCACAGCAGCAGCAGCAGCAGGTGGTGAATGGGGTGGCGGGTAATGGTGTGAATTTGACGACGTCGTTGTATGTTGGAGATCTTGATCTGAGTGTAACGGAATCTCAGCTTTATGACTTTTTTAGCCAAGTGGGAACGGTAGTTTCGGTTAGGGTTTGCAAAGACTTGAGTAGCCGCCGTTCTCTTGGTTATGGTTATGTTAATTACAGCAACACCCATGAAGGTTACCTTCTCCTTTCTCTTTTATTTAACTTTTTTTTACCATTGGGCTTATTTTGTCCTGTTAGGATAATTTGTTTTTCATCTTTGTATTTTTTTTTTGTACATTTTTAAGTATAAGAAGCAAGATTACGATAGTTAAATAAAAATGAGCGAATCACTAAGATGTATGGATTTTGTTTTTAAATGAATGTTATTTTATTTATCCAAACTAATGGTTTTGCCAGTTGCTTCCAAAAGCAAAAAAAAAAAAAGGGTAAAAGAAGAAAAAGTAACAACTAAAGGTTGTCTTTTTATTAGTTTAACATGGGTTTAGAGTTATGAAATTATGGTGCAATGGTGTATAGAATGTTCTGTTTTAGTTTTGAGTTTGTATGTGGATAATCTTCTGTTGCTGCATTGCATTGAGAAGATATTGGTCAGTTATTGCTACTAGTGGCTATTATCTTTTTGAGTTTAGTTTTTATCGTGTTTGATAGAATTAAGAAAGAGTAGGAACTAAAGGAAATAGTAGGTCCAGTTGTCCCTGAAAAATATTTTCCTGAAGTTGTTGTGCTGTCTTGGCTCAACTAAGTTAGAATGATGTTAATATAGAGTATTAGGATTGGCAAAATTTCATTTGTAACATTGTAAAACCAAGCATTTTGCTTAATACTGAGATTTACCAATAGATTTGTCTTTTATCGTTCATAAACTGAACAAGCTGTTAGACGTGATTTGAGCTTAAGTCATTCAGTTGGTTACTACATTGCCATACTCATCAGTGTAAATGTGTTAGTAGCTAATGATTAGTTGGATAATTGCAGGAAGATTGGGTTAGCATTGTTTTGTCTTTTTATTTTTTGTATAGGGGGTTGTGGGAGGAGAATTCTATTAAGTATTGGTTGTCAAATTGTTTCTGCCTGATTGCATTTGTGGCTTCATCACTAATCTTTGCTTATTGCCAAACAGCAATTTTTTGCATTTCTTTCTGTCAATCCTGTAAGTTGAATAATGAAGGTTTTGACCTTCTGTTCCTTTTCACTTGCATTGGGTGAGAGCACCTGCATGAATGCATGAAAAACTGTAGCTATTGTTGGCAACAGGACTGTCTCTGCTGCTTTTGATATCATACTAAAAATTTATATTTTTTAATTCACTATCAGAGCATCCATATTTGCTGACACCTTTCTGTGCATTCTTCGTAACAGCGGCACGGGCGTTGGATGTACTGAATTTTACTCCTATCAATGGCAAGCCAATTAGGATTATGTATTCTAACAGGGATCCTACTGTCCGTAAAAGTGGATCAGGAAATATATTTATCAAGGTACCTGTCTTCTCCAATGTCTCTGATAATATTCTCTTGAACCCTCTTATATCATATACATATTTGTTTAACCCCTTCTGATTGATTCTGATTTTAATTCTTTATCTCCTTTTCTTGATATAGAATTTGGACAAGACAATTGACAACAAAGCTCTACATGACACATTTTCTACATTTGGGAATATTCTATCTTGCAAGATAGCTACTGATCATTCTGGCCAGTCTAAAGGATATGGGTTTGTGCAATTTGATACTGAGGAGTCTGCTAAAAATGCAATTGATAAGCTGAATGGTATGCTACTTAATGACAAACAAGTTTTTGTTGGACCTTTCCTTCGTAAACAGGAAAGAGAGTCTGCCATAGACAAGACAAAGTTTAACAATGTTTACGTAAAGAATCTGTCAGAATCAACAACTGACGAGGATTTAAAGAATTTATTTGGTGAATATGGACCTATAACTAGTGCTGTGATCATGAGAGATGCAGATGGAAAGTCAAAATGTTTTGGATTTGTCAACTTTGAAAATCCTGATGATGCTGCTCGAGCTGTTGATTCTCTCAATGGAAAGAAGTTTGATGATAAAGAATGGTATGTTGGGAAAGCACAGAAGAAATCTGAAAGGGAAATGGAATTGAAGGGGCGGTATGAGCAGAGTTTAAAGGAAACTGCAGACAAATTTGAAGGACTGAATTTATATGTTAAAAACCTAGATGATAGCATTGATGATGATAAGCTTAGGGAACTGTTCTCAGAATTTGGTACAATCACCTCATGCAAGGTTTGCAACATGGTTCTGTCCTAGTAAATTCCATTTTCAGTTTGCAGCATAAAACTTATCCATATTTTACTCCATTTTCCCTTCCTTTTATCTCTTTCTCCCCTCTCTTCGGGGTTTAACAGGTTATGCGTGACCCTAATGGTATAAGTAGAGGCTCAGGCTTTATTGCCTTTTCAACTTCTGAAGAAGCATCTCGAGCTGTAAGATTTTTTGTTCTTTTCATTTTCCCAAGTAAAAGTTTTTGAATAGTATATCCTTTTCCTTTTTCTTATGTCCTGAGTTTTGTTCTCTGATGTAGCTTGCGGGGATGAATGGCAAAATGGTAGTTACTAAACCACTTTATGTTGCCCTTGCACAAAGGAAAGAAGAAAGGAGAGCTAGGTTGCAGGTATTCAAATTAGTAGTTTCTTTCTCATACTTTTGGGTCTCAGGGACATAAAATAATTGTGCTAATATCTGATGAGCTCATTGAGCTGATTTGTCTTTGTTGGCTATTGATGCTTACTTAAGAGACTAGGTTTTTATGTTTTGTTGATGGATGTTGAGTTAAAATCAGCATAAGCTATGTATGGTTTAAGGTAGGGATGGTATTTATATATATTCTTTTGCTCTCTATACAGGCACAGTTTTCTCAAATGCGTCCTGGTGCAATGGCATCTGGTGTTGGCCCTCGGATGCCCATGTATCCTCCTGGTGCTCCAGGTCTTGGACAACAACTATTCTATGGTCAAGGCCCTCCTGCTATAATTACTCCCCAAGTAATACTACTTGCTTATTGGTTGTTTTTATCCCTCGATATCTGTTGATTATTCAGTTTTATGGTGCATCTCAATATTTTTCCCAGCTTCTCTAAGGTTGAAGTTTGTTCACATATATATGTTTGTTAAGTACTGTTTATTTTTTCTGAGGTACTACAATTATATTAACCTCATTTTTCTCAAGGAGGATCTTAAGTTATAACCTTAGGAAATACTATCAGTAAATTCTTTCGTTTACGCTTGATATAATATGTACTCACTAATTAGTTTATTGGAATTCTTTTAATTTGAGAGGTTTCAAGCTTAATAATATAATTCTAAGAGGAGAGTTTGAGTTTTTGTTTGACTTTGTTTCTTAAGCAATTTTGGTTGACAATTCATATTTCATCTGTGATTTTGCTGGCACTAATTCTTAACTTATGCTGTCCTTTTATTATGGGAGCTGTGACTACTCTTTGTTACTTCATATTATTGCAAGACTTGTCACTGTCCATTCTGATGTCCATTATGGTTTCTTTTTGGATGCTATTAGTTGATCACTTTTCTGTAATTTATATCAGCCTGGTTTTGGGTATCAGCAGCAACTAGTTCCTGGCATGAGGCCAAACTTTTTCATGCCAATGGTTCAGCCAGGTCAGCAGAATCAGCGCCCAGGAGGCAGGCGATCTGGAGCTGGCCCCATGCAACAAACACAGCAGCCACTTCCCTTCATGCAGCCACAGGTTGGTGAAAATCTAGCATCTTGATATTCTTGATTGTTTCTTTTTTTCATTTCTGTGTTTCAAAGTATCCTTCCTTTTTTTTGCCTGCATTCGATTCTTACCAAGATTTTTGTCTTTATGCTGATTGCAGATGCTTCCTAAGGGGCGTGTCTACCGTTATCCCCCAGGTCGCAACATGCCTGATGTTCCAATATCTGGTGTTCCTGGAGGCATGCTTCCTGTTCCTTATGACGTGGGTGGAATGCCATTCAGAGATGCTGCATTTTCACAGCCCATGACAACTGGGGCTCTGGCTACCGCTCTTGCAAATGCAACACCTGAACAGCAGAGGACGGTAAGTGTCTGTCTTTTATCGCATTTATGCATAGATAATTGTACTGTTTATTCATACTCGTCTAGCTGTCTTTTGACAATTTTTTTGGTGCAGTTGCTGGGAGAAAATCTATACCCACTTGTAGACCAGCTGGAGCATGAGAATGCAGCAAAAGTGACAGGCATGCTTCTAGAGATGGACCAGACTGAGGTTCTACACCTGCTAGAGTCACCAGAAGCTCTGAAAGCCAAAGTTGCAGAGGCTATGGAAGTTCTAAGGAATGTTGGTCCACCGCAGCAAAAGGCCAATAGCACAAGTGATCGGATGGCCTCATTGTCTCTAAATGACAACCTTGTCTAATGGCTCTGGTGTTGCATGCATTTAACTATTTGATCCTTCAAATAAGTTTTAAGTGTGGCTTTGATTTTGGTTTTTAGGGATTTGCTCAATAATTTGGAGTCAGCTGGATTTTATTGAACTTGGATTTTTAAGTTGTGGTTTTTTACTTTTATATCTAGACATATTGCAGTTTGCAAGAGGTCTAGTTTAAATCACTTTGGGTGGTTCTTAATTTTCTCTACAGGCTGTACTGCGTGCTAGCCAATGCTTTCTGACGAGGAGAGAAGCCAACTTCACTTTGTCTAAAAGCCCTTTTGTGAATTGACATTTTAGTGTCATTGGTTAGTGATCGTCGCATTACATTATTAGTTGCTTTGCCCTGTTAGCATCCTCGTCCCTCTCTTCATGTGAAGCATGAGAACGGCAATCCTCGATTCTGCATGTTAGTGCAACCTTAAAACTGGAATCCAGTTCGAATTGAACTTGGATTTTCAGCTTTAACATGGCCGACTATGGAGCGAGCCTCTGTTGAATTCCAGGTTTAAACACCGCCCAAAATTCTTCAAGCCCATTGCCTTCCAATGGTTGCATTTGTTTAAAGCCTTGAAGCCGAAGTAGCTGGTTTAATCTATGCAAATAGAGATGAGGCGTCAGAAATTCAGAAAAATCTTTCATTTTTTCGGATTTAATCATTAGATATAATGCCAAATAAAAAAGCATATCATCTTCTGTTGTCGATGATTCATTATATCAAGCAGGACCCTAATGTCTGACTCAGTTAATGGAGAAGTAGAAACACATTGAAATAATGATAGCATCACTACCAGTACCAGGCCACGCAACCCATTATCAACTGTTGTCTAATGACATTTTAACCGATAACCCTGATCATATCAATCCTGGTTTGATGAGAGATTGGGACTCCTTGTTGTTCCCAGGCCAGCTCAACCAAAGCAATGATGGGAGAGACAAGCTTCAGGAAAAATATCTCCTCTTAGATTCTACAGCCACAGCCAGTGAAGTCTTATGTTCAGGTTTCGCAAAACGAGCGGAGCCCATCTGAAAGTTTGCACAGAACAGGTACTACTCAACCCCATATAATTTGTTGGCAGTCCTATACCCTAGTGGTCTAGTCACGAGTCAGTAACGAAAGGTACAGGCATGAACAATAGTTCTTCGTTAAGACTTAGGCTCAAATAGGGCGTGGCTAGGGCTGCATCCTTCTAATTTTATAGACTAGCCTAGTAAGAAAATGAGGCCCAAATTGTACCATTCTGATGGCTACCTGAGTTTGACCAGGACCAACCTAGCTACGGGTTTTAAGCCTGAGCCTACTCACCCACTAGAAAACCTCTTATCCTCTCAATCAAAGAAATTTAGGGTGCTTAACTCCTGCTTAACTTCTAACTGAATTGGTGCCAAGCGCTAACTTCTTGGTAAGTAAAACCTAAAAACAAGGTTCCCTAAATTATGATTTCCAAGTTCGGAACCCAATCTTTTGGAGTAGTTCAATCTTTTGCGGCCCCTAAAATTGTATAGACAACTGCTTAGGTATGGCGCAACTGCGCAAGGCCGGCTCTGAACCTAACATCTTTTCGACTCCACAATTTGCCTTTATAACATTCTGCCGACATGATTTTCTTTTTCTGTTCTATTTTTCAGTGGTTGAATTTTAATTTGTCATCTTCTCATTTCTTGCAAGTGACAAATTTTTATTTTGTAATGTTAAAGAGTTGATAGGCAACTTTTCTTTTTCTTCTTAAATAAAATGATTGAATACAGACCTAGCAACTAGACAATGCAAAAAAGTTTGATGACAATTCTCTTTACGACTTTGCAATACAATAAAGATTCATGTGTTCAATATAATTTTTTAAGAATTACACAAATAAAAATTCCTAGGATGTATAGAATATTAGTTTGATTTAGCAGTTTTTAACACTTTTTATTAATAGATTGTTAGTAGTAGATCTGGCAATTTTAGATGTGATATAGAATTATAATATAAATAAGATACAGATTTAAATAAATTTAGATTTAAATTAATTATATTTTATATATTAATCATATCAAATCTACTTATAATTAATTAATTATGTTATCATATATTCGTATAACTTGTAACCCGGTTTTTTATTCATTTGTTTAATCATATTTACGTGTCGTGTGAATATATTTAATACATAATTAAAATCATTTATTAATTTATATAATTTTTAATATCTTTATAATAATTAAAATTTATTAATATTAAATTTTATTATATTTAATATATATTATGGTATCGATAGTTTTTTATTATTTACTTTAATGGTTTTAATTGTGTTGATTGTAATCAAGGACTCATCCTTCTATCCAATTAGAAATGCTGAAAGCAGCAGAGCTCATACCCAGCATCGCCAAACCCATGGTGCCGTCAAGACATGGCATCCTTTTTGTGCTTGGTTGGATCCTGGCTTTGTAGTCTGACTGAAGATTTTAATGGAGGTGGTCGAGCTTGAAGTTAGAAGTCTTTCAATGTTTTTTTGTGATTTTCCTGTCTCTCCCACGAGAAGTTTTAGTTTACTCCAGCTTTCATATTTCCCCGACTTTTGCCGATGATCATATGTGTGTTCTTCATATGGGAAACACTTCTTAAATCTGATTACGGTGTGCTCCTTACCACTGAACCATAGATCTGATCTTGGGTGTCAAATAAATTATGTTTTTTTTAAAAAAAATCATGATAATTGTATAATTATATATTAATCGTATCAATCGTATATATTAATAATAAATAATATAAATTTTAATCGTATTAATCGTTTTGCGTTATATATCTAACATATTTAATAAACATGTCCTATCATATTACATATTTATTAAACATATCTATATACGTGTTTAAAATTCTAACACGATTAATTAATTATATCATATTCATAATTATTCATATAATTATTAATACCTTATGTTTATACAATATGATTAAGGTATATCACGTTAACGATTTGATTAAATATAAAAAAAAATAAAAATATATTTAAAAAATTTAAAATAATTTAGAAATTTTTTAAAAATATTATATCAATATTCATTCATGAATAACTTGTAAAATGAGGGAAAAAAATGCTGTAAATGTAATGTAAAGGGCAAAATTTAAGAAAATGAGGTTTGTATAGCCAAATTTTCTACCTTTTTGTTTCCTTAGAGAGGGGATATCAACTTGAAGGTCCACATCCGTCGTATTGAATGGCGTTGGTCTGGATGGAGTGTATGGCTCATATGCACTCTCTTTCTCTTCTTCTCGACAAAGCGACGGACCGTGATCCAGACACTTGCCCTACTACGGTTTTTTTGTTAATATTATTAATTAGGTAGTATCACGAATTGCCATTCTAGGGAAGTTTCCAAAACGAGCCCAATAATTTGAGCACCCACCACCTTTCTGAATATATACTTTTATCATTTGAACAAGAGATCAATGTGAACCGATTGAACCCACGTTAACTAATAATGTGTGTGTACCTTTAAATAGTAGTATCATACATAATGTCAGACGGGTGATCTCACATGTCTTTCATTAAGAGAGAAATTATTTCCTTTTTTTTTTTTCAAGATGTTGACTAGAATTCGTAATTATTGGATATTTCAATCAAATTTATTATTATTTTTTATTTTTTTAAATAAAAATAAAAAATTAATGAGAATTTTCTATTTGCATTAACGGAATATTTCATGAAATATTAAATTTTGTTTGTTTTATCCAAAAATCAACGAAACAGAAAGTGCAATGTTAAAAAGTCAATAAAATTGAAATATAGCTATAAAATTTAAATAGTGAAAAATTTAATCTCAATCCCTAATTATGCAATTTTGAAAGAGAAACTAATTACCATCTAAATTCATTCAGCTTCTTAATCAAAGTAAAGATATTTGAAACTTTGGCAATGTCTCCCATAAAAGGAACGGTTTGGGTATCGAACGGTGGTTGCAAATGACAAGTACAGAGTTAGAAAAATAATTGCTGTTAAGCCAGGACAAAGAACGGACCCCATATATATACATATTGCTCATCGTTGTGGCTGATCTCTGCTTTAAGAAAACAAGAGATTTCCTCGTATGGATCAAGTATGAGTAAGGGGAGGTCCAATCATGAAAGATAGTAAGCGTTATAATCTACAAAAACACAAAAAAGAGCAGCATCTAGGCTTTTAACTGAAATATGCTATGCATGGCCATGTACATGAACTTGTTGCTACCTCCATTTCTGCTGCCTTGTCCACCACAAAAGGCTTTTGGGTAGGGCTTGATGCCTTTGCCCTGCCCATCTGGTCCCCCCTGTTTTCTTTGCCCCTCATCACTTTTTTGCTATGTTAACAACGCAATAGTAAGTTGTTATTTGAAACATATAACATCTAAATAATGGACTATTATTCTATATATTATCGGTAGAGTCTTTTATTCCACAAGCTGGAAGAATATTGTCATTGTCAGATATCTTTTTCTTTATCATACTAATTTATTAATTAGTTTTAAATATATTTTAATGAGATATATGACACTTTTTTAACCTTGTTTGGAGTTTAAAAACTTCACTAATGAGATATAAGACAATAATCCCATAAATAATTTAACAAGCAACCTCTGATTTATATTTCTAGTTTGACCAAATTGAGAGGCGAGAGGGTTACTGACTTTATGCAAACAAATAAGTACTTTCTTTTCTTTTGGGAAAATCTGAACCCATTAATTGATTTCAAACGTTATTTTTTTTTCCCCGGAAAATATCTAGAGTTATAGTAGTAAGGTTAGAAAAAGGGAGAAATGGATCGTCATTTCACTAGGATTTTGGGACCATAGAGTGATGAATTTAGGGGTTTTTGGGACCATTGTATTGATGAGTTTAGGGGGTTTTGGGACCACCCAGTGGTGACTTTAGGAGTTTTTAGGACCACATATTTTGTGATCAAAATGCAAAGGATTTGAAGTGCCATGTTGTTTGTTAAGGTTCAAACTGCGTGTTAAATTGAACTTTTGCTCCTGCAATGCTAGCAAGTAACAACCTACAAGTTAAAGACTGCTGGGATGTGCGAATATCGTAGTTGTAAAACGCACTGTGTGTTTTTTGTTGCGTATGAAATACCATATTCCTCTCCAAGTTGGTACAGACTTTACGACCTTTCAGCCAAAAACAATCTGGTTGGACAAAAGTTATTCACTGGAAGACATTAATTCTCTATCACAAGGGTTAAAAA